TCACTGTTGATTTTTTGGACAGACGTAGGAGGGTGTGGCGTCGTCGAAACGAGCGCTTCCAAGACGTTAACGTCATCAGACATGATCGAATTGGGGGTGGTTCTGTTATGGTGTGGGGAGGCATCACTGTTGCTGGAAGAACGGCTTTACATGTTGTTGCAGGGCGTGTTACAGGCCAGTACTACCGGGACAACATCTTGGCAGTCCATGTTGTGCCGTTCGCACGACGTCATGGCCGCCGTTTCATCTTCCAGGATGACAACGCAAGATGTCACAGGGCCAGGATCGTTACAGGTTACCTCCAACAACAGAACATCACCACATTACCTTGGCCAGCACTGAGTCCCGACCTCTCCCCCATCGAGCATGTCTGGGACATGCTTGGACAGAGGTTACGTCAACGTCAACAACGTCCTGCCAATGTCCAAGAACTTGCTGCTGCGTTGCAACAGGAATGGGACAATCTGGACCAAAATGACCTTAGACGTCTCATTAGGAGTATGCCACGTCGGATCAATGCTTGTTTGGCAAACAGAGGAGGATTTACCCGTTACTGACTTGGTTGTGATGCTGTGGTAACTTTGCTGTTTGACCCCGGGTATCATTTTACCCTTATAATGGTCAGTCTGTGCCTTACTTAGTCTAACGATCATTTGGAATAAATCGATGAATGTGAACTTCATTTCATTTTGTCATTTGTTTCTTCGTCAGTTTCATTAGGTGACTTTAATAACACTTAAAAATCAAATATCCCCTACTTTTTTTGAATAGTATATATTGATTTTACGTGCAAAATGTTAATGCTGAAGATCGTAATTTTGTAACTGAAAAAGAGCCTAATTTTTTGACTATAATACAGTATTATGCATTGTATATTGCTACAATTGCGCTTGCAAAAATGTCAGACCAATAGAAGTTATAGCTATTTTTGCAGATTATTCTAAACTTTTAAACATACATTATGCAAGAGCTAAATCTGTCTATTGCAGGTCTTTCTTTGGGCCTGAAATGTTATCTAAATTATTAATTAGACATTAAATAACCTATCCAGGCCATAATCAACTCTAGATGGCAGCGCTAGCCTGCGATCTTTAGTGGATTGTGAGCCGATTTACTGTATAACTTTCCTTCTCGATTTAACGATTAACTGGATAATCGAGACTATGCTGTTTATTGTACTTACTTTAGTAATGATGACCGAGGCTAGGGGGAAATTTCCGACGCTTAGTTCTCGGTTCATAGTGGATCAATTTGAATGAAATTTTCAGCAAATTACCTTTTCATTATCTAGTTTTTAACTATTATAGTGAGAACTGCCACCTCGTTACCGAATCTCCCATAATGTATCTTTAATATTCAACTTATTTTTTCATAAAACTTAAAGTTTCAGCCTTTCCGTTGGCTTAAAAGTAAAATTTTTTTCACGATTTTATGTCTACATTTTTATGAACAAGACAGAAGTCTTACTTTTTTTAAATGCCTAGTATTAGTATCGAATTAAAAGAATTGTGTAAATATATATCTAATAAATAATCACTGGATATATTGATCCTATTTTATCTTGTCTCTATAATATATGCTCATTCTGTAATGTTGATACTATAATGTTAATTATTTAATGTTTAAAATTCTATAATATATATAGTATATGTTAATTCTATAATGTTATTTCTATAATATATGTCATTTCTATAATAATAATGATATTACTATTAATAATCTTTATTCACAAAAAAACCCATTAAATTTATACAGGAGAGCTCTATGCAGAGGGTGATTACCCAGGGCTCAAGGATTTGGAACCAATTTGTTTTGTGAGATGGGTTAGTACCCACAAACATCTCCACTTAAACAAAAAAATATTAGATTGATTCATTAGTCGGGCCAATCATGCTACCCTAACAATTAGATTTCTACTGTTAATGCTCTCTTAGTACCAGGTTTACCTATTATTGATGATTTGTGTCACCAATGTCATCTGTTGAATCTAAATGACATTTTTCATCTTCAATCATGGTGTTGAATCGTGTTTCCGACTCTGCGACTTTATGCTTATTGTGACGCCTTTTTGGCTCAATTACAGCATCTTTAATCATGATTAAAATCTCAAAACTGTAAAAACTCTAAATGTTTTCTTATCGTCAAACATCTATTCTTACAAACTGCATTTGGTTTTCCGAGATTGTGTTTTCGGGGTTTCAACGCCAAACCTCGTCAGACACGTCATTGTGAAAAATACATAGGGTGCTTAACTTTGAGTATATACATGATTTAAAATTCATTATAGAAATTTGTCGCCTTTAAAAATCTTAGCACTTTATTAAATAGCTTGGTACAGGCCAGATATTAATCCTCTCTGAAAACTTTATTGAGTGAAAACTAAATTTTGAGAGGCTATAGCTTGTTATTTGCAAGAACTGCGACCCATAACTAGCAAACCTTCCTACGTACAAAATGTAACTGACCAGAATAAGCATCATAAATAAATTAAAAGCACCGAAAATTGGTATAAAAATTATAATATTTCGTTTATTCAAACCCAATGTGAAGTATATGGACATCTTTTCAAAGTGTATTGCCCCATGCTTAAAACAAATTCATAATGGTCAAATTGTAAAATAAGTCCTGTTCCGAAAAAGGGTAACCATGATGCTGTCAATGACTATAAGGATAAATGAGGGATAAATTTAGTAGGTATATTTAGCAAATTATTTTCCATAAATAATCGTTAAATTTTAACGGTAATTATTCAGATTATTTTTCATCCTTTTCTGGAGTTAAATCAGGTGATAAGCTCTCGCCCGTCTTGCATGATTTAATAGACCTACTTATATGAACAATAATGCTGTTGATCCAATTATTTATAAAATATTATATTAATTGTATAGTATGTTTCATTCTATAATTATGAGATGCAGACCACATTTACAATTGATTTCTCGACTGATGTCCGGATTGGAATCCGAAAGAATCTAGTTCAGAGCCCTGCACTTTTACTGCGTTCTTCAAAACAATTGTAAATGTTCTAAGAGCATCATAAACCAACATTTCTAGCTTTACAGTTGACAGTTTATATTGCATGTTGTTTTTATTACCACACATTATAACATAAACTTACTGACATTTATGAATATGGCGACAATTTTTGAAACATTCAAATTAAAGGAATGAATGAATGAAATGTGGTTTAATGGCACGTCAGCTCCAACTGGGCTATATTGAGACAATTAAACAACTATCGTAAAAAGAGTTCATATACATATGTGTTATTAAAACAAATATCACATCGCTGTATGTATATAAATATTAAGGTTTTAAAACGATAAAATGATTATATACACAAAGAAAAAAAATAAGCACCCGAGTATTTATTTTTCACTTGTCATATGACTTGTCATACGAAGTTTTGGGTTGAAACCCTGATAATATAACCATGGAAAAACAAATGTGGTTTGCAAGACATAAAGAATTTATCATTTTTTTTTTTTATTTTAATCACCATTATGAAAAGAATTCCAAGATGTCGTATTTGAGCCAAAAAATATGAAGGTGCAGAGTCAAACACAATTCAACATCGCGATGGAAGATGAAAAATGTCATTTAGATTCCACAGAAGACATTAATGACACAAACCATCAATAGCGGGTAAACTCGCCACGTGCCAGGAGGACAACTTTTCTCCACTATGATGCCGTGGCGACCCTGCCTTGGCTGCATTAGGTCCCGACCATAATCCGTTAGAGCATGTTTGGGATTGAACCCACGTGTACATACTCTGACGCAATTGGAGGCATTTCTTCATCGAATTAGCAGCAGTGGAACATTGAGCAGAGCAGACGACTTAATAGAGGAATCAGACGACGAATGGAAGCTGTCATGCGGGCATGTGGTTTACCGACTATATTGATGATCTGTGTCATCAATTTCACAGGCGATACGTTTCAAGTCAGTAGCTTGAAGCGTATATATGGTATTAGTGTCAGTGGCCTGTGGCACGAAGTAACAGTATATTGTCGCATACATAATATATTATGTCAACGCTTGGGCGATATAATATATTATGTCAACGCTTGGAACTAGGATGGAGGTGACTAGGCATGAACTTGCAACGATAGATTTAATTGGCGCTTTGATAACCAATGAATGCTTAGTTTCGATTGTTTTTTTCTTTTCTGTTTTTTCTCTCTTTTCTGTGTCCTAACCCTAACCCTAACCCTAACCGAAAGAAAAGTGCCCTTTTTTGAAATTCTGACATCACAGGTGCCCTTTTTCTGATAAGGATGCCCTCTTTTATTTACAGGGACACTTTCTATGGCTCTGATGACGCGTACATTCCACTGAGTCTACAGGTCTAATATGCTAACACGCTTGGAGCGTCAACACAATATATTATGTCGCCCAAGCGTTGACATAATATATTATGTATGCGACAATATACTGTTACTTCGTGCCACAAGCCACTGACACTAATACCATATATACGCTTCAAGCTACTGACTTGAAACGTGCAGGGTGAATTTCAACTGTGTAATCTAAATGCCATTTTTCATCTTCAATCACGATGCTGAATTGTGTTTCCGACTCTGCGCCTTTATACTTATTGTAACGCCTTTTTTGGCTCAAATACAACATCTTGGAATCATTTTCAAAATCATGATTAAAATCTCAAAACTGGAAAAACTCTAAATGTTTTCTTATCGCCAGATATCTTTTCTTACAAACCGCATTTGGTTTTCCGAGACTATGTTTTGGGTTTTCAACGCCAAACCTCGTAAGACACGTCATTGTGAAAAATACATAGGGTGCTTAACTTATTTCTTTGTGTATATACATGATTTAAAATTCATTATAAAAATGTGTCTCCATTAAAAATCTTAGCACTTTATTAAATAGCTTTGGGACATAAGAGAGCTATAACCTGCCTTTGACTCGTCTCGTGTCTTAGGGGTTCTGACCGACAGAAATGACGACTTAAGGTATAAACAAAAACAACAAAAACATAAAAAATGAAATGTATTCAAAATATATTTTATAACGGACAATCACGTCGCCACATACAGGCAGTTTTACCCGCCGGCCATTTAAAATAACCAGTATTTCCTGGACAAGCAAGATGGTAGCGAGTGTACTTCCGGCCTGTTATCACACACAGGTAAAAATTATGACAGTTATCTGGGTCTGGGAATACACCATCTATAGGACACGTTGTATCATCAGTAGTGACACCTACGAAGGCCCCAAAATCAACTGAAAAGAGAAGTAAACGAGGTTTAAGAAATCAGCTTGTAACAAGTGTGGAAGTATAAATAAAATATAAAATGTGGTACCACCGATCCTAAAGATATGTAAGAACACAGATGTATAATAATCCGTCAGGTGAACAGGTGGAAAAGAGTAAGTTTATCTTGCGTTATGCACGATGGTTGCCACTATTCTTTTAACACTTCGACCAATAAATAACATGGACAATAAATGTTAAACGCAATACTACGTATCGACAGGTATTATAAGTTTTACCTGGTTCATAAAATATACATAATATAGAGATATGTACATTAAATATATGTACGTTATTTCTATAATTGTATGCACTTTTTTAATTTTCAATATAAAACTGACACATGTGTTCGCTCTATGAGGTCTCCTAATATAATACTTTTTATTTCATAAATAACATGAATAAATATCCTTAAATGATATTTAGAAGTAGAGGTACAGTATTCATGACATTGATTGTGTGATCATAATGAGTTATGTTGGTAGCTTCGGTCCCAAATCAATCTGCATCAGTTTGAGAAATAGTGAAGTCATATTCGAAGGAAAGTGATTGTTGTTATTATCTCTTGAATATTTTGACGCGTTGACTGTTATAATTCGTTTTTTTCGTGGATGCGCTATATTCATCATTGCTTGATATTATAAAGATACCCGCGACAGTATTGGACCGTTACATGTAATAGACTAAGGAATAGTAAATCCATAATACTGGGCATTTAATTGTCATAGGGGTGGACATTGTCATCCGGGGCACATGTACTGTGTGTAATTTGTCCCGAGATCACTTGTCCAGGTGTGAGGTGGGCATTTCCCCCCGGGGCACTTTACCTAGGAAGGGAGGGAGGGGGGTGAACGGTTGTCCTGACGGCGATTGTAAGGATAAGTGTTTGTATTAGTAGATAGAGGTGTGTTCAGGCGGCGCGGGGGGGGGGGGGGGCTTTCCTTGGAAGTGGACGTTTGTCCCAGGGGTATTAGGGCCGGCGGTTGTCCTAGAGGATGGACATTTGTCACTAGGGCTTGAGTGTTATCCCTTGATCGGTTGCCCCGGTTGATTTTCCTGTACCCATTATTCTGCGTTGACTGTTATAATTCGTTTTTTTCGTGGATGCGCTATATTCATCATTGCTTGATATTATAAAGATACCCGCGACAGTATTGGACCGTTACATGTAATAGACTAAGGAATAGTAAATCCATAATACTGGGCATTTAATTGTCATAGGGGTGGACATTGTCATCCGGGGCACATGTACTGTGTGTAATTTGTCCCGAGATCACTTGTCCAGGTGTGAGGTGGGCATTTCCCCCCGGGGCACTTTACCTAGGAAGGGAGGGAGGGGGGTGAACGGTTGTCCTGACGGCGATTGTAAGGATAAGTGTTTGTATTAGTAGATAGAGGTGTGTTCAGGCGGCGCGGGGGGGGGGGGGCTTTCCTTGGAAGTGGACGTTTGTCCCAGGGGTATTAGGGCCGGCGGTTGTCCTAGAGGATGGACATTTGTCACTAGGGCTTGAGTGTTATCCCTTGATCGGTTGCCCCGGTTGATTTTCCTGTACCCATTATTCTGCGTTGGTGATTTTTTCGTAGATTTTTGTATGAGACAATAAATCAAATCTAATGCCATCAATTCTCCCCCCAAAATATGACAGTTATAAACATAGCTACTATTATCTAGAGTTAGAAAAAAAATGACTAATATTAAACATAAATAAACTGACAGATAGAAACTGCTTATGGCAGACATAATGGTTTACTGTTAGATTTTTTATTTTATCTTTAAACAGATGAATCACTTTCAAAAAGGCAATAAATGTGATTTATATGGTTCATGCGATAATGAACCCTATATATTATCCGCGTTAAGTGACAATCCGTTCCACAGTTTGGCCTTCTCTTACAACTTTTCAGTAACCCCTGTGACAGCCATAGAGTCTGCCATTAAGGGAAGTCGTACAAGAAGGAGTACGAATATAAGATTAATTAGTTAGCATATATAATGTTATTTATACCTGACATACAACACATATTAAATGTTTATGAGTTAGGTGTGCGTTATAGTAGGCTCGTGTTACATTTTAAGAATATGTTAGGGCACTGCCCTTAGTTGGACTTAAATCAAAACATTTTTAGCTCCCTGTTTTATTTGTTTTCCCAACAGTGGGGTCCGACAGGTGTAATTTAAATAACCACGAAGGATTTGTCAATTTATATATAGGCTATATGTCTGATATAGGTCACACTTTACGCAAAGTGTTCAAAGGAATATGGAAGATAAGGTATAGTGGCTGTAAACAAATAGTTTTGTTAAAACATTTTTGGTCGATGTTAGCCGATATCACCAAGACCCCTGACATGACTTACCACCATTTGATACAATCTGCGTCGTTTTCCATATAGTTCCGTTAAGTTTGGAATAAGAACTTAATTGTATCATTAAAAGCTACTTAACTCATAAAACAGATAGGGGTTATCTAGTTTAAACAAAAGCAATATAGGCCTGCCGTTTGGGAATTAAAAATCAGGTTAATCGAATAGATATGTAGTAAGCTACAACATAATGCTTGATGAGGCGTTTGTTTCCGCGGGTCCGGCGAGTTGACATTCCAAGAAAACCAGTCAGATATATATTTTGAAATCATTCTAGCAATAAATTGACAGCAATCAGAATGTTAGTGAACTTATTAGTAGCAAGCAATCGCTGTGACCAGCACCGATTATGCATATTGCATACTGCTTTCTTGCTTCAGTAAACCGAAACTATGAAGTTATCTGGACGCCACAGCGTAGCACGATTGGGTTGTACCATAAAATAAAGAGTGTACCTGATCCTGATCTAACTGCAGCAGCTGGTTGATTTATAGTTGGTTTTCTTTGTGGTGGCAATACTACTCCTCCGGGTCCATCTTCAGGACGCTGAGATCTAAAGTTCAGAGTCGGAAGAGGAACTGTTGAAGGTTTGATTATCTTATTAATGGTATTCAAAAGAGGGTAGAGTCCTTCGCCACAACTTCCGGTAAAATCGTCCATCTCGACGGACCAGACAAATGCTCCCCCTAATCCTTGTTGCACAATATACCTGGCCTGAAAAAAGTTTTAATGGATTTATAGTTTGTATTGGTGTAGTGCTGTAATGCATTGCAAATTTGTGTAACGCTCAGTGGTCCTATTGTATTTAATGTAACTAAAGACATCTACACATCATAATGAACAGGTTTAGTACATTTCTCAGTGGATTACACCACGCTTGGCATCATGAAAAATACACTTACCCAATTTCAAACATATTTCATCATTCACAGACAATCATCTGTAAAATATTTGCGACTTGTGTCCTTGCCGATAAAAAAAAGAACATTCACCATTATTATTATATATCCCACCCATACTTGTAGTATCGTTACATTCCACCTAGCTATAGTGTTCTCACCTTTATAGCGATACTTTTAGTATCATCATATCCAACCCATTGATCTCCACCGTAAGCATATGGTGATTGTTGTTCTGGTATCCAGACTGATCTCCAACCTTTATATCTTAGATTCTCACAAATCTGTATTTTGTACATAATTAAAAATTTAATTTGAGCTCATTTATAACTAATTTAGATAAAATTGGCCTTAAAGGGACTATACCGTTTTCAAGAGAGTCTCAAAAATAAAAGTCGGAGTACGTATAAAATTTTAGCGTCAAAATATAGAGGAATGGTGTATTTACCTTCTCTCAAATTTCCAGCTCAAAATATAGAGAAATGGTGTATTTACCTTCTCTCAAATTTCCAGCTGAAAATATTGAGTCGTTTGGATGTTAACGTCAAAACTGCTTATCCGGACACGTAACCCTTTTAAGATTTCGGGTCAGTTTTTTCGTTGGGTGACCTGGTAATCGATTCCCGTTCCTCGAGAGGTCTACATAGTGGATGACCCATGTGCTCTACTTGATAACGAAAGGTAAATTTCACCTACACATTTTTTTTATAAAATAAAAGTCTGGTTTTATTAAGACACCGCATAATGCAGCTTGGGACACCGGTTTCCATTTCCAGATGAAGACTGACGGGTTTAAGTTGTTTGAAAACTTATCACGAATATTGAGTTAGTTGCTCGACCCTTAGCTAGAGGATTTTAAGGGATTTTAACCCAAAATTAAGCAGTTTTATTCTCCCAAAAATATCGGGATCAGCCCTTTAACACCACGTGGTCTTCTTTTCTTGAAATGTGTACCCAAATTTACTATACTCTGCATTACATGAAGTGCCAGGGCCCATTAGTTATCAGTTGATGTTGTTCCGATATTTTTTTGAGAACAGTGTTACATTTTAATTTTTTAGTTTAGATCATCAGCACACAGGTGATCCACATATTATCGTATTATTAGAAAAGGAGACTATGGTCGATACTTAATTGTTTTAACGAATTTTCACTTTTTGTTATCTTATGCAATACAAATATCACGGAATTAAATCGTAAGTGGTAATAAGCAAAGAAAACTAAATGTCCTTACCTCAAAGTAAGCGAGGATTCCCTTTTCTCCTGTATAACTACCAGGACGCCCACCAGATGAGGCAGGTGACCCCAATCCATTTATTGCTGAGTTCTTCAAGGTATAACTCATGCCATATGTACCCAGACCAACAATAAGTCTTTCTTTAGGCATACCTTGTCCTAACCAGTAGTTTATAGACCAGATCTATAAATAAAGGCATGGGAAATAATCCTCGAGGCAACGGTTAACGTTTCAACATTAACCGATGTGGTCACTTCTAATTTCATACCCAATGAATGTGGTCACCACCGTAATCCTGTGATCAAGACATTCTTGTTTATTGGGTCCTATATATACATTTAACAAACCATCTTTTTAATTCTTGGTATTTGTAACAGCCATCCGTTCTGTTGGGTTTTATTGGCTAGTGGACTATCGGAAATTAAATTAACTAAAAAATTCAAGGGTTCGATTTAGAGAGTTCAAATAACCCGTGTATTTGGAATGATAAACTAAATGACCACGATAATCGGGAATGGATTTCATAGTTAAACATAGTATTATTGTAGTGCCGGGAAGGAATTGACGTCATGGGTTTATTGTAAACCATAAATTGTATACTTCACGCCCTTCGGAACAAATTTGATAATGAAGAGGGGGGTGTCAGGATAATGAACCAAAATAGGATACCAGACAATTCTGAAGCTAGTGAACACATACATTTGCAAATTATTGTGGAATCTTCAGAAACCCCTTTACAATCTTCAGAGTCGACCAAATCCGACATGCAAGAGGCGTAATGGGGCGTACTAAGAGTGTGTGCAGAACACCTTTAAATTTCACCATCTCGATTTGTAGTTCGTCAATACATATCAATTCACTCTCTTTCCATTTCTCTCCCTTGTCAGTGATGCAGGATGGAGGGGCTGACAAGGAAAGCTGTCTAGTCGTTCGGATGGGACGAAAAACCGAGGTCCCGTGTACACATTGGCGTGCACGTAAAAGATCCCTTGGCAGTTGGAATTCGATATAAGAGTAGGCCGTAGTGCCGCTGCCCGGGCAAAATTTCCCTCATAGCACACTGTATGGCGTATGCCCGTCTTCATTAGCCCAGGTTAGGAGCAGAACAGTAGGACGTTAAACCCCATTTCATTTCATTTCATTTAAGAAGACTTTGCATTTAAGTAAACTTACCTTATTTTGTGTTCCCAGAAAATTCTTAAGAACGTTCTTGTGCGTAGATTTTAAGTAGACTTCATTGTAAGCACAAGAACGTTATTATGCGTTCCAAGAAAAAACTTGAGCACAACTTCGTTTTTAAACATAGTCAATCTAAGCACAAGTCCCAAGCAAGGTAGGCCTATACGGCTTGCTTACCAACCTTAAGTCTGTTTCTGCTTCAAAAAGATGGCTGACCGTAGAGTTATTCGACGGCATTTCCGACACCTTTTGATACCAAAGAGACAATTACAAGACAGAAAAAATCCTTCTCCAGAAGAAATTTCAAATTAAGAATGCTATAGAAAATTTCGCTTCTAGGCCTATCCTTAAACCATTTGATTTATTTGCCAATTAGTAAACAATAGGCTACAGACACACAGGCTACTTTAAGATCAGGCACTCTCACAATTATTCAGTTAGTTTGTATGTGTCTGCGTTTTTTTTTTATCTTGTGGCACATTTTATTTATATGTGTAGGCCTATAGGGGACATGTCAAATGCATCATAGATAATACCGTATGATTGCCGACTCGTCTTTAGCCCTTTACGTGATGTTGCGTTCTGGTTCGTGCGCATATTTTTTTGCGCAGGGGGGGTTGTTTACTTCCGGTCGAGCTTTCGACAGTACGTACGCACAGTGACACGCGAGATTGACATTTTTGAAACTTACGTTTATGAAATTAATAAAATGAACACGTATATAAAAATTATATGAAAAAAAAGAACAAGATATCTCCTTCCAAAATATTTTTAGATTATTGCAAAAGATGAAATAGCTACTGTGTGACGTTAAGTTGAAAAAAGGTTACAAATGGGCAAAAAATGCCTTTCTTCATTCATGAATCTTGTACCGTACCAATTTACACTAAAATTAGGAAATATTTTTGATATAGAGATAATACTTCAAACACCTTTATTTTTATTTTTCTAATACTTCAAATGTTCTACAATTTAATTTGCAGAAGGAAAAAGGTTATATTGTGAGCTAACTAACCCTCACCTCTGTGCCACACACAGGCCTACGGTATAGGCCTATCTATAGTATGATTAATAAAATTAGATGTTGCATTTTATTATCAATTGCATGGTATATTAGAACAGTTTTAAAAATCTTGTTTATATTCAAATGTGCATTTTTTTTAATAAATTCAGCTTTGTTTGTATACTTTAGTTGATAAAGATGTAAATATCCCTACAAAATTCTTTTCCAATCTAGGCCTAATTAATAATTTTAGAAAATGGCCATTTATTTATTTTAAGTCCCTCTGACGCTCTGTCATTTAATTTAGTTAATTTTATAAATGCAGACCCCCCCCCCCCCAAAAAAAAAAAAAAAATACACACATACTTTTTTTTCAGCTTGCACAACTGGGAAAAAGTTTACTTATATAAATCCACCCCAATGTAAGCAATTATTTCATAGTCTTTTTGATCTAGGCTTTGTTGAGAAATTAAATTAGCTTCAGTAGATATAACAATTATATATAAGGAAAAAGAAAACACAATTAGTATTAAATAAAAAAGGAATTATTGCTTTAGTTATCAATGAAAAGGAATTTTTGTTCTAAAATAGATTCTTCCAGGAATCCTGTACATTAAAAGATTTACAAGAGTTGATAAAGGCAACTTCATCCTTGATATCTGATATTTCAATGTTGGCCACACCAATTTGATTTCCTGTTCTTCGGGCTTCGATATAAAAATAAATAGCTAATTAAATCATGTGAAAGATGTTTTGTTTAAAAATTTGGAACTATAAGCTTTTGAACAGTACAGCCAAGTACTTTTGGTGTTTAAATAGATGTATGTATTTTTCCAGAAGAACCAAATAAATAAATATAATGAACGTCCATTTCTATAGCGCAAAAACTGTGTTCATAGCGCTTGGCAAAACATACCTACACGAAGTCTTTAGCTCTTAGTTATCACTTGTTTGTAACAGATGAGTTTTTAAAAATTGTAAGGCACTACATTTATCTCATCATGTTGTTTATATGAATATATGATTACGGTATCCAATATCATTCATGTCATTAACATTTAACTTGTTTGCATACTTGACAAATTAGCCTATAGATCTAGTCAAATTTTTTTACAGAGTTACTTCGTGTAACCGGGGTAATTAACAAGACTGTTTTGTTAGGGTTGTTTTAAAAAAAAAAAAAATTAAAACACGTCATCCAAGCGAGAACCAAAATATATTTCTTTATATCCTAAATTAAAATAAAACAATAACAATAGACATAAATTTGAAGGGGAATTATGTAAGATTTAGATAAAGAGCTGGTCGTTCTCGTTATTAACTATAACATTTCAAAAATAGATAATGCAAATTGAATATATTGAAAATTTACCACCATACCGTTCTAATCTATTTAAAATCTGAGCAATCAGATGGCATCGAGAGTTGATTATGGTCTTTTCATGTTAATAAATGTCTAATTGATAATTTACATAACATTAAGGCCCAAAGAAAGACCTGCAATAAGCAGATTTAGCTCTTACATCATGCCTGTTTAACATTTAAAAACGCATCTTTAATTAACAATACTTTTATGATAAATTAATAAATGTATTATTAAATAAAGCGATCAGACAATGTTAATGTTACATAATTGGATGAATAATTATATAATTTATAGGCACCTTATTAGATTGAAATACCAACTCTTTCTTCCTCAACTGATAAGATTAAATTATTTAAATCAAAAAATGCAATAGCCTAATATTATTGTTAAGATTAACTTATTTAATTGAAACAAAAATTGTAGGTTATATTTTTAATGATTAATTTAATTACATGGAACAGTAAACCGGCAACTATTTTTAAATATTAATTTTTCTCCAGAACCGTGTTATTTCCTAAAAAGCCATACATCTCAGCATTGTAACAAAACCAATCTTATCAATATCGGAGCAAAATTGACTGAATTCTGTAACACCAACTGGCAGATCCCTTTTTTGCGAAAATTGGTCATTTGGCTTCAATTCTCAACCTATTTAACCATCAACATAACCATACAAACACATTACACATAGCTTGAATGGTTTATTTTCTGATGTTTGAAATACATAAAATTAAATAATTATGCTTAATTCAACTATACAAAATTAAAATCAATAATGATATAATACAATCAAACAATTTAAACCAAATCCCTTGTTGAGTATTAAAATAAAACAAATAAAATAATGAAAATAATAATATCCCCCCCTCCCCCCCCCCCAAAAAAAAATGAAATAAAAAAAAAAAAAAAATATAAATAAATAGATACATAAAATAAAATACTTTATCAATATATTAATGTCTAGTGTCTCAATATTTATACCCCCTCCCCCACCCACACACACACACACAATATGAAAAGAAGTAAATAACATAAATAAAACATACAATTATTTATCAGTATCACAATAAATCAACATGAAATATATTTGCTTCACAAGCTGGCACTCCTCTAGGCCCCTAGGTAGCAAACAAAAGACGGGTACCAGTACGTTCTGCTGAAAATACAAAAGATTTTTAAAAAATTGTGTAATTAAAAGCTTATATATAGCCAACACAGCAATGTTATTATTCATACCAAACTGTATTTTATATATTTACGATTTATTAATGATCTGCAAGTATTATTTTACAAATTAATGAATTGAAAACTCTTATTTTGCCGATTTTTAAAAGTAGGTCAAAGCTGTCAAACTTTGCCTTAACTGGACAACACACGTGTCGAGATTTTCATGAAATGTAATACTTATTTATAATACAATATAATATCAAAATTATAAGATATTCATTTTTATTCTTACCTCGAACATTGCTTCTATTTCTCGTTACCATTTAACCAGATGATGCCACATTTAATACTACAAGAAAGCGCTAAATAAAAATATCGCTACTGGGCCTATAGTAAACAAACAGCGAGAACAGAAGACCGGAAGTGATCAACCACCTTTCTCGCCGTTTCACGCGTTTCGCAAC